GACTCCACCACACTCGCGACTCCACCACACTCGCGACTCCACCACACTCGCGACTCCACCACACTCGCGACTCCACCACACTCGCGACTCCACCACACTCGCGACTCCACCACACTCGCGACTCCACCACACTCGCGACTCCACCACACTCGCGACTCCACCACACTCGCGACTCCACCACACTCGCGACTCCACCACACTCGCGACTCCACCACACTCGCGACTCCACCACACTCGCGACTCCACCACACACGCGACTCCACCACACTCGCGACTCCACCACACACGCGACTCCACCACACACGCGACTCCACCACACTCGCGACTCCACCACACTCGCGACTCCACCACACTCGCGACTCCACCACACTCGCGACTCCACCACACTCGCGACTCCACCACACTCGCGACTCCACCACACTCGCGACTCCACCACACTCGCGACTCCACCACACTCGCGACTCCACCACACTCGCGACTCCACCACACTCGCGACTCCACCACACTCGCGACTCCACCACACTCGCGACTCCACCACACTCGCGACTCCACCACACTCGCGACTCCACCACACTCGCGACTCCACCACACTCGCGACTCCACCACACTCGCGACTCCACCACACTCGCGACTCCACCACACTCGCGACTCCACCACACACGCGACTCCACCACACTCACGACTCCACCACACTCGCGACTCCACCACACTCACGACTCCACCACACTCGCGACTCCACCACACTCGCGACTCCACCACACTCGCGACTCCACCATACTTATGACTCTACCATACTTATGACTCCACCATACTTATGACTCCACCATACCCATAATGACTCCCCCATACTAAACATATCAGTAACCAAAGTGTAGTTATCTTTACACAAATAAACCACAAGCTTTATTAACAAATCTGTTTAATAACGCTGTTAACTGTGCACAAAGAATTCATGATAGGACTAAAAATGGAAACCCACTACATTCACCAATGCAACTGGAGGAGGGAGGGAGGGAGGGAGGGAGAAAAGGGAGGGTGCTGAGTTTCACATAAGACTGATACACAAGTGAATAACGTTTTTTCTCATAAACGTACTTCTCTGTGAAATCAAAAACAAAATACAGAGCAACTAGCACGCTGTTATCTGAGATGTGGTAATATATTGCCTGGAACAATTACGTAATACATGTCACTGCGGTACAACAAAACATCCATTTCTGCATACTGTTAAATACTTTCTTTTAGCTGGTTTTGAATGGAATTTATTTTCACTTATTTTTGATGAGTTGAATGTAAAATATAGGGGAAAAAGTTTGCTTCAGCAAAAATAATTTCCAAACGAAAATAAAATATTTTATAGTATGTTACATTTAGTAAAATTATCAAAGATGTTTCTGATGCCATGGTAATGGTAAGATACAATAGTTTACTCCATTATTCTCACCTTAGCAGGTCTCATGTGCACAACATGAACATTGGATTCATCCAGAGAATTGTCCACTGAATCAGCTTTTCGGATCCTACCATTTTTCGGGACGGGCGGTCGACCCATGCTAATGCGCCCGGCTGAAGGAATTAACCACATAGGGGAAAAAAAATTTAGTACACTTTGAATTGTTAGTACAGTATTTGATACAAATTTAGAAAACAATAACAAATTGTATATATGTGAGCACATTTATTATAGTTAATATTATAATAATTAAAGCGGGGAGTCGTCACCTGAGCATGCGTCAGATGGCCATAGCGTGTCAATGTTTACAAACAAGCGTCTACCCATGAACCTTTGCATTTTTAGCGTGTGTTGTTATCGTCACTTGGAACTCAATTCCCACGCTTGCGCAGGTGACGACCCTCTCGCTTTAATATTTTTGAATGCAAGTGCCGATTCTTGATGACCTTGTGTTTCAAAACAGCCTTCTGACTTCTTGGTCCATCCCTAAATATTTACAAACTATGAATGTGAGTTTTAGTAGGTGAAATAATGTTGGGCTGACATTTAGAAAAAAAAACAAAAAAACAAAAAAACAAACAAGAGAACCATAAAAACAGGCCTGTGGAACAAACCCTTTTTATTGGCATTTTAACTTCGAAAGTATGTCCTCTATAGCTTAAAGTTCACATTTTGAGGTCACTGACGTAAATTGTGCAATTTTCTCGCTATTTTTAGGAGCAAACATTCGTGCATTTTCAGCACCGTGTAACTACAAATGGTGAAAACAAATCTCAAAAACTCTAAAAAAAAACTGTACTTTTGGATAGTTGCAGTGACTCCTCTGAACAGTGTATCCCTACATGTCCAACATATATAAATTTGGTTGTTCAGGATTACTTCAAAGTTGAGTTTGTGCTGTTTCCTTGACTTTAGCTGTTTTCATTGGATCTTCCACATCAGCTCGTGTAGAGCTCCACAAAAATACATAGTACAGTGGTGCGGGTCTTAGCAACACAGAACGTTCTGTGATGTAGCAACACCCACCGAGAATAACAAAAGAAATTTCACAGAATTAATTCGGGAATACAAGTAACGCATACCTGCATACTGTGCATAGGGTTCGATAATGACCCTCTGACCCTCCAACGTCGCTACCTCAATATCCAACTCTAGAGGGACTGGTGACGCATTCAAGTGAACAACCATTCCATCCAATGACAAATTATATTTATTCATTATCGGTCTGAGTACATCTATAATGGCTTTGTTGGGTTTCGACTTCACTCCAATCGTTCTTTTGTTCGTACTTGGTAATTCAACCCTGTTGAGAAGGAAAAAAATATTACAAGCATGACTCTTTGTATTGTTATAATATGAAAATAACACTGATCTGTTCTTTTTATGTATCATTTTCATATTTTTTAATTCATGTTGTACTGAATCACTGAACAAATCACATGACCAAATACTAGCAAACAGTTAAAAATACTTTTTTTTTTAAATAAAGTTCTGTTTCAAAGCGTATAGCACGTAGATATGAATATTTTCCCCTTTGTTTGTTTATTTGGTACCCCAAACGATAATTAAATTACTAAATATAACCCTTACAAAAGCAACTGTTTGTCACCTTTCACAGAACATATCTGCGTAATTTTTTCCATATTTTTTGTAAATACTTGGTTCAATTTTAGCAGACTTGATTTGCTGGTTTTGTGAAAGAAACAATACATGCTAATGAAAAATTATCGAAGATGTTTCTGTTGCCATGGTAAAATTAACGTTCATTACGCCAATGGGTAAATATGGGAAAAAATTATGACGTATAAAAAGTTGAATAATTGTATATTGTTGTTCATTCACTTTTCTACTTTCATTCAAAATGTAATGATCTTAAACTAACAAAGCGTTAACACTTGACTGATGTGTCAGCAGAATTACAAGTTGGATTTAAAGTTGGAATACTTACTTAAACATCACTCTATTTTCCACAACCACTTCCTTGGAGGCCAAAGTTGAAAGGTCATCATGGAGGTTATACATCTAGAAAATTGAAACATACAGTACATAACAATTAATATAATCTCAGTAAGAAATATTTATTTGAGTTCTTTTCACTTGACCTTTGTCCTATAACTTATAAACCTGGTAAAACTAGGTCAATTTCGTTAAAAACTTTTTGTGTTTATCAGCAGCATATGGCCTTATAGCCAGAAATGCGTTAAAATCCTGTTGCAATAAAATAACTTGTTTGGCTTTTTATGGAACTTTGCTTCTAATAGAACAA